CCCTTACACTTACATTGTCTTTGTACAACTACCAACCCTTACTCTTACATTGTCTTTGGTTATGTACAACTACCAGCCCTTACACTTACATTGTCTTTGTACAACTACCAACCCTTACACTTACATTGTCTTTGGTTATGTACAACTACCAACCCTTACACTTGCATTGTCTTTGGTTCTGTACAACTACCAACCTTTACACTTACATTGTCTTTGGTTATGTACAACTACCAACCTTTACACTTGCATTGTCTTTGTACAACTACCAGCCCTTACACTTACATTGTCTTTGTACAACTACCAACCCTTACATTTACATTGTCTTTGGTTACGTACAACTACCAACCCTTACACTTACATTGTCTTTGGTTATATACAACTACCAGCCTTTACACTTACATTGTCTTTGGTTATGTACAACTACCAACCCTTACATTTACATTGTCTTTGTACAACTACCAACCCCTACACTTACATTGTCTTTGTACAACTACCAACCCTTACACTTACATTGTCTTTCGTTATGTACAATTACCAACCCTTACACTTACATTGTCTTTGGTTATGTACAACTACCTACCCTTACACTTACATTGTCTATGTACAACTACCAACCCTTACACTTACATTGTCTTTGTACAACTACCAGCCCTTACACTTACATTGTCTTTGGTTATGTACAACTACCAACCCTTACACTTACATTGTCTTTGTACAACTACCAGCCCTTACACTTACATTGTCTTTGGTTATGAACAACTACCAACCCTTACACTTACATTGTCTTTGTACAACTACCAACCCTTACACTTACATTGTCTTTCGTTATGTACAACTACCAACCCTTACACTTACATTGTCTTTGTACAACTACCAGCCCTTACACTTACATTGTCTTTGGTTATGTACAACTACCAACCCTTACACTTACATTGTCTTTGTACAACTACCAACCCTTACACTTACATTGTCTTTGGTTATGTACAACTACCAACCCTTACACTTACATTGTGTTTGTACAACTACCAACCCTTACACTTACATTGTCTTTGTACAACTACCAGCCCTTACACTTACATTGTCTTTGGTTATGTACAACTACCAACCCTTACACTTACATTGTCTTTGTACAACTACCAGCCCTTACACTTACATTGTCTTTGTACATCTACCAACCCTTACACTTACATTGTCTTTAGTTATGTACAACTACCAGCCCTTACACTTACATTGTCTTTGTACAACTACCAACCCTTACACTTACATTGTCTTTGGTTATGTACAACTACCAACCCTTACACTTACATTGTCTTTGGTTATGTACAACTACCAACCCCTACACTTACATTGTCTTTGTACAACTACCAGCCCTTACACTTACATTGTCTTTGTACATCTACCAACCCTTACACTTACATTGTCTTTAGTTATGTACAACTACCAGCCCTTACACTTACATTGTCTTTGTACAACTACCAACCCTTACACTTACATTGTCTTTGGTTCTGTACAACTACCAACCTTTACACTTACATTGTCTTTGGTTATGTACAACTACCAACCTTTACACTTGCATTGTCTTTGTACAACTACCAGCCCTTACACTTACATTGTCTTTGTACAACTACCAACCCTTACTCTTACATTGTCTTTGGTTATGTACAACTACCAGCCCTTACACTTACATTGTCTTTGTACAACTACCAACCCTTACACTTACATTGTCTTTGGTTATGTACAACTACCAACCCTTACACTTACATTGTCTTTGTACAACTACCAACCCTTACACTTACATTGTCTTTGGTTATGTACAACTACCAGCCCTTACACTTACATTGTCTTTGATTATGTACAACTACCAACCCTTACACTTACATTGTCTTTGTACAACTACCAACCCTTACACTTACATTGTCTTTGGTTATGTACAACTACCAACCCTTACACTTACATTGTCTTTGATTATGTACAACTACCAACCCTTACACTTACATTGTCTTTGTACAACTACCAACCCTTACACTTACATTGTCTTTGGTTATGTACAACTACCAACCCTTACACTTACATTGTCTTTAGTTATGTACAACTACCAACCCTTACACTTACATTGTCTTTGGTTATGTACAACTACCAACCCTTACACTTACATTGTCTTTGTACAACTACCAACCCTTACACTTACATTGTCTTTGTACAACTACCAACCCTTACACTTACATTGTCTTTGTACAACTACCAACCCTTACACTTAGATTGTCTTTGGCTATGTACAACTACCAACCCTTACACTTACATTGTCTTTGGTTATGAACAACTACCAGCCCTTACACTTACATTGTCTTTGTACAACTACCAACCCTTACACTTACATTGTCTTTGTACAACTACCAACCCTTACACTTACATTGTCTTTGTACAACTACCAACCCTTACACTTACATTGTCTTTGGTTATGTACAATTACCAATCCTTACACTTACATTGTCTTTGTACAACTACCAACCCTTACACTTACATTGTCTTTGGTTATGTACAACTACCAACCCTTACACTTACATTGTCTTTGGTTATGTACAACTACCAACCCTTACACTTACATTGTCTTTGTACAACTACCAACCCTTACACTTACATTGTCTTTGGTTATGTACAACTACCAACCCTTACACTTACATTGTCTTTGGTTATGTACAACTACCAACCCTTACACTTACATTGTCTATGTACAACTACCAACCCTTACATTTACATTGTCTTTGGTTACGTACAACTACCAACCCTTACACTTACATTGTCTTTCGTTATATACAACTACCAGCCCTTACACTTACATTGTCTTTGGTTATGTACAACTACCAACCCTTACATTTACATTGTCTTTGTACAACTACCAACCCCTACACTTACATTGTCTTTGTACAACTACCAACCCTTACACTTACATTGTCTTTCGTTATGTACAATTACCAACCCTTACACTTACATTGTCTTTGGTTATGTACAACTACCTACCCTTACACTTACATTGTCTATGTACAACTACCAACCCTTACACTTACATTGTCTTTGTACAACTACCAGCCCTTACACTTACATTGTCTTTGGTTATGTACAACTACCAACCCTTACACTTACATTGTCTTCGTACAACTACCAGCCCTTACACTTACATTGTCTTTGGTTATGAACAACTACCAACCCTTACACTTACATTGTCTTTGTACAACTACCAACCCTTACACTTACATTGTCTTTCGTTATGTACAACTACCAACCCTTACACTTACATTGTCTTTGTACAACTACCAGCCCTTACACTTACATTGTCTTTGGTTATGTACAACTACCAACCCTTACACTTACATTGTCTTTGTACAACTACCAACCCTTACACTTACATTGTCTTTGGTTATGTACAACTACCAACCCTTACACTTACATTGTGTTTGTACAACTACCAACCCTTACACTTACATTGTCTTTGTACAACTACCAGCCCTTACACTTACATTGTCTTTGGTTATGTACAACTACCAACCCTTACACTTACATTGTCTTTGTACAACTACCAGCCCTTACACTTACATTGTCTTTGTACATCTACCAACCCTTACACTTACATTGTCTTTAGTTATGTACAACTACCAGCCCTTACACTTACATTGTCTTTGTACAACTACCAACCCTTACACTTACATTGTCTTTGGTTATGTACAACTACCAACCCTTACACTTACATTGTCTTTGGTTATGTACAACTACCAACCCTTACACTTACATTGTCTTTGTACAACTACCAGCCCTTACACTTACATTGTCTTTGTACATCTACCAACCCTTACACTTACATTGTCTTTAGTTATGTACAACTACCAGCCCTTACACTTACATTGTCTTTGTACAACTACCAACCCTTACACTTACATTGTCTTTGGTTCTGTACAACTACCAACCTTTACACTTACATTGTCTTTGGTTATGTACAACTACCAACCCTTACACTTACATTGTCTTTGGTTATGTACAACTACCAACCTTTACACTTGCATTGTCTTTGTACAACTACCAGCCCTTACACTTACATTGTCTTTGTACAACTACCAACCCTTACTCTTACATTGTCTTTGGTTATGTACAACTACCAGCCCTTACACTTACATTGTCTTTGTACAACTACCAACCCTTACACTTACATTGTCTTTGGTTATGTACAACTACCAACCCTTACACTTACATTGTCTTTGGTTATGTACAACTACCAGCCCTTACACTTACATTGTCTTTGATTATGTACAACTACCAACCCTTACACTTACATTGTCTTTGTACAACTACCAACCCTTACACTTTCATTGTCTTTGGTTATGTACAACTACCAGCCCTTACACTTACATTGTCTTTGTACAACTACCAACCCTTACACTTACATTGTCTTTGGTTATGTACAACTACCAACCCTTACACTTACATTGTCTTTGTACAACTACCAACCCTTACACTTACATTGTCTTTAGTTATGTACAACTACCAACCCTTACACTTACATTGTCTTTGGTTATGTACAACTACCAACCCTTACACTTACATTGTCTTTGTACAACTACCAACCCTTACACTTACATTGTCTTCGTACAACTACCAACCCTTACACTTAGATTGTCTTTGGTTATGTACAACTACCAACCCTTACACTTACATTGTCTTTGGTTATGTACAACCACCAACCCTTACACTAACATTGTCTTTGTACAACTACCAACCCTTACACTTACATTGTCTTTGTACAACTACCAACCCTTACACTTAGATTGTCTTTGGCTATGTACAACTACCAACCCTTACACTTACATTGTCTTTGGTTATGAACAACTACCAGCCCTTACACTTGCATTGTCTTTGTACAACTACCAACCCTTACACTTACATTGTCTTTGTACAACTACCAACCCTTACACTTACATTGTCTTTGTACAACTACCAACCCTTACACTTACATTGTCTTTGATTATGAACAACCAGAACAAAATGATCTGTATCCAACATCCGCGACAGCTGCCCGAGGGATGTATCCATATGGACCTGCAGACATATTTTAAAACAAAATAAACTGGAGAAGCTGTAGATATACCACAAGATACTACAAAAAAGCACAAGATACCTCAAGATGCTACAATATATCAGAAGACAATAAAAGCAATCATGAGATAACAAAAGCAATCACAAGATATCACAAAAAAGCACACACAAAGCTATGTTGTACTTTAGATTAAAATATGTTGTGAGTTATGTATCTTTATCATTAAAATAATAGATTACCATAAGTGAATTATGCATGTACAATATGAATAGGATGTTTTCAAATTTTAAACTATTGGGTTAAAAACAAATAAAAGATTGGGTTTTTTTTACTTGTTGATTGAAGACCTAAACAAACTGATTGAAATTATTTAACTCTCAAAAACCTCTTGTTTTATATCATTTCCTATTGGCAAAGCTACAGTCTCATCTCACAGCCTAAATTTTAAGATAAAATGTAATGTTCAACTGGTAAAGCTACAGTATAACCTAGTCACCAAAAGTTTAACCTAGTCACCAAAAGTTCAACCTAGTTACCAAAAGTTTAACCTAGTCACCAAAAGTTTAACACACAGCACCAAGTTCAACTGTTTAACCTAGTCACCAAAAGTTTAACACACAGCGCCATGTTCAACCCAGACTCACCTGTTTGAACTGTTTGTACATGACCTTTGACACGGGGTCACCACGGTTGACTTTGTTTTTCACTATTTGTGACATCATGTTGCTGACTGTCACCATTCCAAGAATGCCTCTGTCATGAGATGAAAAAAATGTTCAGCACAAAATTTGACACATCAAATCTACTCTACAAACACAGCAGTTCACAAACTGTCATGACATGAAAAAAATATTAAGCACAAAATCTGGCACATCAAATCTACTCTACAAACACAGCAGTTCACAAACTGTCATGACATGAAAAAAATATTAAGCACAAAATCTGGCACATCAAATCTACTCTACAATCACAGCAGTTCACAAACTGTCATGACATGAAAAAAATGTTCAACAAAAAATCTGGCACATCAAATCTTCAAACACAGCAGTTCACAAACTGTCATGAGATGAAAAAATGTTCAGCACCAAATCTGGCACATAAAATCTACTCTACAATCACAGCAGTTCACAAACTGTCATGACATGAAAAAAATGTTCAACAAAAAATCTGGCACATCAAATCTACTCTACAATCACAGCAGTTCACAAACTGTCATGACATGAAAAAAATGTTCAACAAAAAATCTGGCACATCAAATCTACTCTACAATCACAGCAGTTCACAAACTGTCATGACATGAAAAAAATGTTCAACAAAAAATCTGGCACATCAAATCTACTCTACAATCACAGCAGTTCACAAACTGTCATGAGGATTTCATCCATCTACAAACACCATAGTTCACATACAAGCTGAAGACATAAACATTTGTATCTGTCTACATTGACATGACTGCTCTATAAACTCAAACTTGACAGATCACTTGGAATAACATATCCAATATTTATGACAACTTTATCAAGCTGAACTAGATAAACAAAACACTCTAATGTGTCCATTTCAGCAACAACACCACAACTGTGTAAAATAATGTTTACCATACAAGCTACATCAAACCTAATGTTCTATTAACTGGTACAAGTATATTTTTCATACAGCCTGTATCAAACCAAATGTTGTATTAAATGGTACAAATATATTACCCATAAAACCTGTATCAAACCAAATGTTGTATTAACTGTATACAACAAGTATATTTTCCATACAGCCTGTATCAAGGCAAATGTTGTATTAACTGTATACAACAAGTATATTTCTCATACAGCCTGTATCAAGGCAAATGTTGTATTAACTGTATACAACAAGTATATTTCTCATACAGCCTGTATCAAGGCAAATGTTGTATTAACTGTATACAACAAGTATATTTCTCATACAGCCTGTATCAAGGCAAATGTTGTATTAACTGTATACAACAAGTATATTTCTCATACAGCCTGTATCAAGGCAAATGTTGTATTAACTGTATACAACAAGTATATTACCCATACAACCTGTATCAAACCAAATGTTGTATTAACTGTATACAACAAGTATATTTCTCATACAACCTGTATCAAACCAAATGTTGTATTAACTGTATACAACATGTATATTTCCCATACAGCCTGTATCAAACCAAATGTTGTATTAACTGTATACAACAAGTATATTTCTCATACAACCTGTATCAAACCAAATGTTGTATTAACTGTATACAACAAGTATATTTCCCATACAGCCTGTATCAAACCAAATGTTGTATTAACTGTATACAACAAGTATATTTCTCATACAACCTGTATCAAACCAAATGTTGTATTAACTGTATACAACAAATATATTTCCCATACAGCCTGTATCAAACCAAATGTTGTATTAACTGTATACAACAAGTATATTTCCCATACAGCCTGTATCAAACCAAATGTTGTATTAACTGTATACAACAAGTATATTTCCCATACAGCCTGTATCAAACCAAATGTTGTATTAACTGTATACAACAAGTATATTTCCCATACAGCCTGTATCAAACCAAATGTTGTATTAACTGTATACAACAAGTATATTTCCCATACAGCCTGTATCAAACCAAATGTTGTATTAACTGTATACAACAAGTATATTTCCCATACAGCCTGTATCAAACCAAATGTTGTATTAACTGTATACAACAAGTATATTTCCCATACAGCCTGTATCAAACCAAATGTTGTATTAACTGTATACAACAAGTATATTTCCCATACAGCCTGTATCAAACCAAATGTTGTATTAACTGTATACAACAAGTATATTTCCCATACAGCCTGTATCAAACCAAATGTTGTATTAACTGTATACAACAAATATATTTCCCATACAGCCTGTATCAAACCAAATGTATTGTTAACCTACCCTGACTCATCCACAACAGGAACCTGGTCAAAACCTTCCTTGTTGAGTAGGTCAAGAGTCTCCTGAATGGTCACTGTGGGCATGACAGTCAAAGGTGCTAACAGCTTCAGAGAGCTGACCTTTAAGTTGGACCACCTGTGTCAAAACACAAAGAACAATCTAGAACATTGTAAACACCAACTGCACTTGGTAATGATTTACAAGTAAGTATACACTTTACCGAAAGCCATTAGTGGATTAAAGACGTATGTACAGTAAATAAAAATTCATAACCTTTTAGTATTTGACTCCATAAAATAAATATGATAGGGACTAAAAAAATTTCTGTTGTTGAAATGGGGAAAGTTTATAACAATATTTAGTTTACAAATAGGAACTTACAGCTAATTCAGATGAATGAGAGAACTCGGTATAAACAGAAAAAGATTAGAATGAAGTTTTCAATCCAAGAGCAGTAACTCTCATTTGTCAGCTGTAGAATTTTAAAATTACCTCACTCTATTCTACAAGCTACCCCATATTTATGAGTAATTCTCAAAAGCAGAGTTTAAAATACTTGGCCTAAAATCTAAGCAAGTGTATCTCTACTTAATATACAATTCTTTTACAAAGCATTATTTAAAGACAAACAATTTTCAATTAAGTAGATTTAAAATACTTATTTTCTAGTTAAATTATAAATGTTTGATTTTCAAGAAATTCCAAAATTTTATTTGAGCTATGCAAAAAAAAATTCATTTTAAAATTAAGTCACAGAAGCAAAAGAATTAATTCTTTCAAAATTACAATCCAATGAAGCTTTGCATTCATGCAACATTACACAAGTAAAATATATATTTTCACTTCCAGAAGATTTCCTAAAGTGTGCTGCATACATGGTAGGGTGGCAGGTTATCATTTGTCTTGATATTAAACTAGTGTGTTGGTTATCATTTGTCTTGATATTAAACTAGTGTGTTGGTTATCATAATGAAGAAGGGGGGAGGGGTGGTCAGGGTTTGTAGTAGTGATTTGAATTTTGCCTGGTGAAACTACAAAAATTCTAGAGGAAAACAGAAGAAAGTGCTCAAACAAGTATTTCGTGTGTAAAACAAGTTTTACGAGATTGTAATGTATTTATTTTTAAATATTTATTCTATAGAGAAAGAATAAATTATGCTCTAGTACAATTAACACATACATGTTGCTGTATTACTGCAAGTATAATGATTAATAATTTACATTTTTCTCCTAAGATTGTCAATCTTTAATATGTAAATAAATTAGAATGTTAAAAATAAGAAAGACTGAAATATATGACAAAACAAGTTGAAGCTGGACACAAAATATGGCCTTTTTTTTCAACCAAAACCACTAAAAACTAGGTTTATTTAAAAACTATTCTTATCTAAAAACATGGACAGTCTCTTACCAAACTTTACTGCTTAAACTGTTGGTAAGGATGGAAGAATGTTAACTGTATCAGCTTAACAATGACATAACTTTTTAAAGTAAACATAAGGTCCTTTCACCATATAGCTAATTTCAAATTCCACCTGACTAGGAGTTACAATAAAAATAAAATTTCACTTTATTAAACCAGAAATTATTGTTGTTATTTATTTTTTTAATTTTCTTAATTTACATGTATGTTCATTAATCAGTTGAATGGTTCAGTGTTATAGAAAAAATCTCCCCCACCCTTATGATCAGAACCTATTTGTGTATGTGACTGTTGATTACTACACTAATGTAAAGAAATGTTGCCCAGGTCATGTGACTGTTGAGTACTACTGTGATGTAAAGAAATGTTGCCCAGGTCATGTGACTGTTGATTACTACTGTGACGTAAAGAAATGTTGCCCAGGTCATCATGTGACTGTTGAGTACTATGTGATGTAAAGAAACGATACCGTGACTCACCAGTTCTTGGATGGCTCCATCTGGCTCAGTTCCAAGAAATCTCTCTGGCTCATCCAGTCATCACTTAAAAACTTGGACCTGTACAAACAAAACAATACAAACTAGACTTCACAATAATCCACCACATAAACAGATTTAGCACCTGGAGTAAAAAGCTAGTGGTTCAACCAGTGATAATTTAATACAATATATGGATGGCATCAGTATACATCAATAAAAAAATGACTTAACATTTCACAAACTTACTCCTTGTAATAATTTTTCTCACATGATTCTCTTTTAGCTAATGTATATCACCCAAAACTTTTTTTTTCTAAACAGCTTATCAAAAGTAAAAAGTATAGAACACTAAATTTAGCTTTTACATATTTTAAAAGAAAAGTTAGCAAAGCAGCTAAAAACTCTAAAAAGTCTTATATTAATAAAATATTTAGCTTAATAAACAATGTTTGGTTCAATGTGGTTGACATTGCTGAAAACTACTTAACTCCAGCTCAGGAGTAGAAAGTACTTATACTTCTGTCAACTCAGCTCAGGAGGTTAATGACTTGGGTGTCAGAAATTAAAGGGAGCGTAATGCTGCTCACAATCATTGTATAATCTCATGTTACTTTTTTAAGTAAAGAAATTATCAACCAAAAACTAAAACAAAATATAAAGTTGTATGAAACTACTTGAGCTGTCTCGTACATGTAGTTCCTGATGGAGTCTGGTAGGATGACCACACAGCGCTGTCCTTTCTTCAGGCCGAAGTCTTTAATGGCTTGAATAGCGCAGTACATAGCAGATCCACAACTTCCACCTGATGTGGAACACATTGAATAATTTGTTGAATAATTTTTAAACTTTAGAAATACAATTTCCAATTTGTAAAAAATAATTGTTTGAATTATTCAAATAAATAAGATACAGTTTTCATTTTTTTTCATTTGAGAAAAAAACATTTTTTTAATAAAGAAAGGACTTTAAAAAAATGTATAGTGCTTAAAAGACTGATCACACTAGAGGTTTATAGAGCTTAAAAGACTGACCACACAAGAGGGTTATATAGCTTAAAAGACTGACCACACAATAGGGTTATAGAGCTTAAAAGACTGATCACATAAGAGGGTTATAGAGCTTAAAAGACTGACCATATAAGAGGTTATAGAGCTTAAAAGACTGACCACACAAAAGTCCCTCCTCTCTGATTAACCTCCTGGACATGATAAATGATTCTTTGTCCACACTCTTGTACCACTTGTCCACATACTGTAAACAATTCATTTGTTCACACCAGTTGTAAATAAAACCAATGACTCAATAAGTTGCCTTATAAAGTTAAATAAAGCAGAGCCCTTATATTTTGAATCACTAACATAGTGCCTTACCTCTCTTGATAAGACTGTAGGGATAAAGTCGTAGCCTATACCCTCAACTTCATAAAATGAGATGTCACTTTTATTCAAAGACTCTGGCTGGGCTAGTATAGAACCTACAGGATCCACTCCAATAACCTAACAGATATTTTAAACATTAGATTAAAGAATTAACAAAATAATATAAATAAATGAATATTTTTAGATTTTTTTTTAATTTAAATTTTAAAAAATTTTAAATGAAAATGTTGCTCATATAAATATAAATACATTTGTTATGTTGGGCTACAGTGGCAAAGAGATAATATGGTAAATTGTTACCTTACAGTCTGGACACTTGGATTTGATCTTACGTGAGATGCCGGTCAAGGTTCCACCTGTGCCAGCTGTCAGCACAACCATGTCCAGTTTACCTGGGAATAACAGGTGCATTTGATCAGGTATGTTCTATACAAACAATACTAGCAACAAGTTTGAAATTTCACACCTTCTGATATTAACATAATGAAAAACTCTAAGACTCTAATGACCTTCTTATATTTAGCATTTTAACTATAAAGACAAAACATTTCTAGTAGGTAACGACTTATGGTCATATGTAACAATTCTTTGGTCAGTTTGTCATGTGTCAACAATTCTTAGTCAGTTTTGTCAATGTCAACAATTCTTACAGTCTGTCAAGTCAACAATTCTTACAGTCTGTCAAGTCAACAATTCAAACAGTCTGTCAAGTCAACAATTCTTACAGTCTGTCAAGTCAACAATTCAAACAGTCAGTTTTTGTCAATGTCAACAATTCTTACAGTCAGTTTTTGTTTACCTTCACAGCTGTCAATAATTTCTTCTGCTGTTGAATCAAAGTGTGCTAGTGGGTTGCTGGCATTGCGGTACTGAAAAAAAGAACACAAATGATGGTAAAACAGAGGAGCCAAGATAATTTTCAGTGTTATAGAAAGATCTCAGCACCTATTTGTGTAAATATTTCTTCTTAAAGTGATCTCTGTTAATAGCTTTGTATATCCTGATAGATGCTACAGTAACCAATGCATAATAACCTCACTTAATGTATGTAATAAAATTTTAATCAACGAGTGTAGCATTAATCTACGTTTCACAAAACCAAAAATGTGAATGACCTGGTCCAGTATGTAAATGTTTCACCAAACAAAATAAATGTTTCACAACACTAAAATGTGAATGTTTCACCAAACAAAATAAATGTTTCACAACACTAAAATGTGAATGTTTCACCAAACAAAATAAATGTTTCACAACACTAAAATGTGAATGTTTCACCAAACAAAATAAATGTTTCACAACACTAAAATGTGAATGTTTCACCAAACAAAATAAATGTTTCACAACACTAAAATGTGAATGTTTCACCAAACAAACAAATGTTAATGTTTTACGAAACTAAGATGTGAATGTTTCAGAAAACAAAATAAAATGTGAATGATTTACAAAACAAAAAAAATGTGAATGACCTGGTCCAGTATGTGAGAGTTTGGTATTTCCTCCATCAGACGTTTGGCGACACCAATGTGTGACTCGGGGGAATCAAAGGACGCGCTGGTGGGTGTACGGACAATCTCAGCACCCAGGGCCCTTAGTACATCCACCTGGAGGGAAAGTTAACTCTGTCTATAATAATGGTATGCTGTATTTATCAGAGTTACTTCCCTATCTGACATGCACCATTTACTTTACATTCAGACTTTATTTTGGATTCGTTCGATGTTAAAATTGTCTTTAATATTACAGTCTATATTGAATTAAGTGAATTAAAACATGGCTTTCTGTTATATAAAAATATTGTAAAATTTTAATAACTTGTAAATTTTTTCAAACTTTCAAAAATTACAACGCAAATGGAAATAATATCTTTTAAAATGTGTTAAAATATTGACTACGGTTATAATATTCCCAACACTATGTCTGTTGTCAAGTGTTAAACTACAGACTTGCAAATATAAACTTACCTTCTCCATACTCATCTTTTCTGGCATCACAATGATACACCTGTAGCCTTTCACAGCAGCAGCTAGTGCCAGACCAATTCCTGGAAATAAAGGCCACAGGTACAGCTTCAAACATTACATATCAATTGTTACGTTGTAGACAAGGAAGGTATAGGAGGGCATGCTGTGTTTGTAGTTATTCATGTTTAAACTTTTTAATTGTCGAAGAATTTCTTCTGGTTTTTTTTCTGGCTAGGTAATAATACATTCTACATGGTTAAAGAAATTCATTCAAAGAATAATTATAAAATGAAGATTAAAAAGAAACATGAATTTGTAGTAAGTTGAGACTAACACAAAATTTAAACCCTCCAAATGGTATCTATGATCTAAAGATTAGATACAAGAGTTTAACACCCTCAACTCTTCAACTCAAATCTGCTTGGAAAATACTTTATCTATGCTATACAAAAACCAGGTATGATAAAATAGTTTTAAAACACCCCACTAATTTCTTTTAATGCCCGCACCAAGAAGGTTAAACAACCTCCCCCTCCGATTAGGTCAGACATATCCTAAGGATGGACCTACCATCCCCACCATGGAGGTTAACCAACCTTCCCCTCCTATTGGCTCAGTATATTCTGAGGATAAGGTTACCAATGGGGTTAAACACACCCTGAGAATGGACCTACCACCCCCACCAATGGGGTTAAACACACTCTGAGTATGGACCTACAACCCCAATCAATGGGGTTAGACATACCCGTGTTCCCTGAGGTTGGCTCAATGAGGACATCACCAGGTTTGATCTGGCCACTCTTCTCAGCATCTTCCACCATCCTCAGGCCAATCCTGTCTTTGACTGAACCTCCGGCATTGAAGAACTCACACTTGACCACTGGCAACATATGGAGGAGACTTAGACAATGTACACACTAAAACAACCTCCGGCATTGAAGAACTCACACTTGACCACTGGCAACAAATGGAGGAGACTTAGACAATGTACACACTAAAACAACCTCCAGCATTGAAGAACTCACACTTGACCACTGGCAACATATGGAGGAGACTTAGACAATGTACACACTAATACAACAAATATTGTTACAAAACTTAAACAGTGGAGATAAGCATAGCCAGGGGATAAGCTTTTACAATTTTCTTTTACCAAGTAAACTTGGTACAACCACACTTTTTTTTAAATAATGAGAGATGATCATCACTTTATCTAAACAAAGTAGTTCAGTCAGGAAAATGACTACTATCATTGAGATATCATCTCATACAAATTTAAGCCTTATTTCCAGAACATGAATGCTTAAAAAAGCAGTTAATAGATGTTAATTTAGAGCTATGTCAAAATGACAGCTGCTAGCATCAAAGTCATTAAAGCTTCATTAATTTTTTCATAACATAATTAGCATCACTGCCCACCTGCCTCAGCACTTATTAAAATAGCTAGTATAATTTTTTTTAATCAAGTGGAAAAGTTTGAAGGCTACATTAAAACCAGTTCACTTGTATAAAAACTCTCAATGTCCTCTTTAGCTGGGATACTGTTAACTTACAGATTAATGCCCTCTTTAGCTGGGATACTGTTAACTTACACACTCAATGCCCTCTTTAGCTGGGATACTGTTAACTTACAGACTTCACACTCGATGCCCTCTTTAGCTGGGATACTGTTAACTTACAGACTTCACACTCAATGCCCTCTTTAGCTGGGATACTGTTAACTTACAGACTTCACACTCAATGCCCTCTTTAGCTGGGATACTGTTAACTTACAGACTTCACACTCAATGCCCTCTTTAGCTGGGATACTGTTAACTTACAGACTTTACACTCAATGCCCTCTTTAGCTGGGATATTGTTAACTTACAGACTTCACACTCAATGCCCTCTTTAGCTGGGATACTGTTAACTTACAGACTTCACATTCAATGCCCTCTTTAGCTGGGATACTGTTAACTTACGGACTCAATACCCTCTTTAGCTGGGATATTGTTAACTTACAGACTTCACACTCAATGCCCTCTTTAGCTGGGATACTGTTAACTTACAGACTTCACACTCAATGCCCTCTTTAGCTGGGATACTGTTAACTTACAGACTCAATGCCCTCTTTAGCTGGGATACTGTTAACTTACAGACTCAATGCCCTCTTTAGCTGGGATACTGTTAACTTACAGACTCAATGCCCTCTTTAGCTGGGATACTGATAACTTACAGACTTCACACTCAATGCCCTCTTTAGCTGGGATACTGTTAACTTACAGACTTCACACTCAATGCCCTCTTTAGCTGGGATACTGTTAACTTACAGACTCAATGCCCTCTTTAGCTGGGATACTGTTAACTTACAGACTCAATGCCCTCTTTAGCTGGGATATTGTTAACTTACAGACTTCACACTCAATGCCCTCTTTAGCTGGGATATTGTTAACTTACACACTCAATGCCCTCTTTAGCTGGGATACTGTTAACTTACAGACTTCACACTCAATGCCCTCTTTAGCTGGGATACTGTTAACTTACAGACTTCACACTCAATGCCCTCTTTAGCTGAGATACTGTTAACTTACAGACTCAATGCCCTCTTTAGCTGGGATACTGTTAACTTACGGACTTCACACTCAATGCCCTCTTTAGCTGGGATACTGTTAACTTACAGACTTCACACTCAATGCCCTCTTTAGCTGGGATACTGTTAACTTACAGACTTCACACTCAATGCCCTCTTTAGCTGGGATACTGTTAACTTACAGACTCAATGCCCTCTTTAGCTGGGATACTGTTAACTTACAGACTCAATGCCCTCTTTAGCTGGGATACTGTTAACTTACAGACTCAATGCCCTCTTTAGCTGGGATACTGTTAACTTACAGACTCAATGCCCTCTTTAGCTGGGATACTGTTAACTTACAGACTTCACACTCAATGCCCTCTTTAGCTGGGATACTGTTCAGCCTCACCAGGGGTGTATTGCCAATGTTGTAGAGGATGTTGGGTAGAATCTTGGGGCGAGGTTCCCTGAAAAAAAAAACAAGAAATTATTAGCAATTTTTTATCTGAAGATTTAATTTAACTTTCTGATAGCCCAATTTTTTTTTATTGTCTATGTAAATGCCTGGAGACAATCAAAATTAAATATGCCATCTTCTGTCATTTGTCATTTAGACTTAGGAATATTTTTGTATGGATGTCAGTCTAAAACTAGCGTTCACACACTAATCCAAATGATAGTGCAGTAATGACAACTAATTAAGGTTAGTGCAGTAATGAGAACTAATGGGGTGATCCCAATAGCTGCCAACATTACAGTAACAGTTAAGTAGGTCAGTAGGTTAAACATTTAAGTTATGCAACCTTGCACTAACAAAAAAAGTTGTGATCTCTCTTAATCTTTATCATTCTGTGCCAGTTCAAAGATCAGATGTTCTTTTAATTAACTGGGTTTTTTTTTAACAGGGATTAAAATTTTGCAGTCCATTTTTAACCACCTTTTTCTTGACTTATCACTTTTGTAATGTTCCAATTATTAACCTTGAGTAGAGAACTGTCCGTATTTTGTGCCAGTAGGAAGTATGAGCCAATTATTAACATAATGGATCTAATACAAAATCATTGTGTTTTACCAACAAGTTTAGGACCCAGCTTGTAGTATATAGCACTTATTATTATAAAGTTGTTATAGAGTATGAATGCTGAAGAGCATAAATCGATAGAAAAGAGCATCAGTTATAAATTTACAATTTAAAAAAATGTCAAACATGATTTTGTTTTCTAAATAAAAAACAGTAATAGTGTTATAAGCTTAAGTGACTTTGAAAGAAATAAAACAAGTAATGTATATATATAATTCTCTTCTGGGAGCCGTTAGAAAACAAGCTGCAAGCGCCTCCTTGCAGTCCCCTCTCTTTCTCTCTATCACTATCACTACCACCCCCACCCCACATTGTCTGGTGAGCTGTGGTCACGCTAAGTGTTTACAAAGCTAAATGTTTACAAATCGTAGAGTGGTAGATCCGGGTTTCTATTAGGGGCAGATAATTTAGTTCGATTTAAACTTACAGGAGGTAACTAAGGGCATTGAATGTGAAGTCTGTAAGTTAACAGTATCCTAGCTAAAGAGGGCATTGAGTGTGAAGTCTGTTAACTAAGAAATAACTAAGAGGAGGCTGCTTTCACGGGGGGGGGAAGGGGGGTGGTGTAGGGTCGGGGTTAGGGGAAAGGGGGGGGGGGGGTTAGTGTTTTAAAGCAAATATTTTTAGTGGCTGCATTGGTACTGTCGAATTCACAAATTATGAATTACTGAAAAGTAGAAAATAAAACAACTAAATAGCGGCGTATGATACGCTGCGGGTCGGCTCGTAAGACATAAACAACATTTGTAGTAGCTCATAAAACCAGTCTGTAAAATCTGGTTAAGCAGTCTGTTTTGTTTTGACCCCCCCCCCCCCCCCCCCCCCCGTTCTAGTTTTATTCTAGAAAAAACATTATCAGAATAACTGCCTCTTCTGACATTATCGCAACCTTTTCTTTAAAAACATTGCAGGGAAACAATGGAGTGATACATGGATGTAACTTATCAAATGTTACACGTAACTTAAAACTTACACCTTGACATGGATGTAATTTATCAAATGTTACACGTAACTTATAACTTACCTCCTACACCTTGACATGGATGTGAGGTGACTTATCAAATGTTACACATAACTTATAACTTACACCTTGACACGGATGTGAGGTGACTTATCAAATGTTACATAACTTATAACTTACACCTTGACATGGATGTGAGGTGACTTATCAAATGTTACATAACTTATAACTTACACCTTGACATGGATGTGAGGTAACTTATCAAATGTTACACATAACTTATAACTTACACCTAGACACGGATGTGAGGTGACTTATCAAATGTTACACATAACTTATAACTTACACCTTGACACGGATGTGAGGTGACTTATCAAATGTTACACATAACTTATAACTTACACCTTGACACGGATGTGAGGTGACTTATCAAATGTTACACATAACTTATAACTTACACCTAGACACGGATGTGAGGTGACTTATCAAATGTTACACATAACTTATAACTTACACCTTGACACGGATGTGAGGTGACTTATCAAATGTTACACATAACTTATAACTTACACCTTGACACGGATGTGAGGTGACTTATCAAATGTTACACATAACTTATAACTTACACCTTGACATGGATGTGAGGTGACTTATCAAATGTTACACATAACTTATAACTTACACCTTGACACGGATGTGAGGTGACTTATCAAATGTTACACATAACTTATAACTTACACCTTGACACGGATGTGAGGTGACTTATCAAATGTTACACATAACTTATAACTTACACCTTGACACGGATGTGAGGTGACTTATCAAATGTTACACATAACTTAAAACTTACACCTTGACATGGATGTAACTTATCAAATGTTACACATAACTTAAAACTTACACCTTGACATGGATGTAACTTATCAAATGTTACACGTAACTTATAACTTACACCTTAACATGGATGTGATGTAACTTATCAAATGTTACACATAACTTATAACTTACACCTTGACATGGATGTGAGGTGACTTATCAAATGTTACACATAACTTATAACTTACACCTTGACATGGATGTGAGGTGACTTATCAAATGTTACACATAACTTAAAACTTACACCTTGACATGGATGTAACTTATCAAATGTTACACATAACTTATAACTTACACCTTGACATGGATGTGAGGTGACTTATCAAATGTTACACATAACTTATAACTTACACCTTGACATGGATGTGAGGTGACTTATCAAATGTTACACATAACTTAAAACTTACACCTTGACATGGATGTAACTTATCAAATGTTACACATAACTTATAACTTACACCTTGACATGGATGTAACTTATCAAATGTTACACGTAACTTATAACTTACACCTTAACATGGATGTGATGTAACTTATCAAATGTTACACATAACTTAAAACTTACACCTTGACATGGATGTAACTTATCAAATGTTACACATAACTTATAACTTACACGTTGACATGGATGTGAGGTGACTGGTCCAGTGGGGTGTCCAGTGTGTAGGTACATTTACTGGGCAGGTCTGGACGTTTCCACTGTCTGAATACACTGTTGACCTCACCTTCACCTGAGTGGTCAACTGGACAAGATTTCTTCTCTGACATCTTTGACACTTCACTATTTGGTTTCTAATTTGTTTGATTAGGTCCCAGTTATCTGTTTGGAATATAAAAGATCATCTGTATTAAACTAAATAAAATAATATTTATTTAAAGATCATCAGCATAAAACTAAAAAATATACAGGATCATCAGCATTAAACTTAAACTTAAGAATATACAAGATCATAAGTATAAAAGCTAAAAGTTATGTAACAGCAAAGCCACGATCGTGGCTTGGCGCGCTTTCAGGGTTAAAGATCATCAGCATAAAACTAAAAAATATACAGGATCATCAGCATAAAACTTGAACTTAAGAATATACAAGATCATAAGTATAAAAGCTAAAAGTGAAGAATATATGTCGAGCAACTCAAAAATTAAGACCTAGATAGTAGAAGTATGTTCTCTTTGCACACTATGGAGAGATTTCTGTTAATATTCAGTCCTGGCAAACTGACTAGACATTAAACATGCCCAGCAAGGTTGTGCAACCACACACAACACTCCAATATTGTGAAAATTGAGAAAAAACTGGTACACACAGATATGCTGACACAGAGTTATAAAAATTTGTGTTAGATTATATTCATTCACAGCATAAAACTCACACTGGCAAGAGGGTTTACTTTCTACACTGTTGTATATAGAGTTTAGAGGATCTTTCAGTATTGGTGAAATCACATAGTTAAAATATAGCATTTGTGTAACAGTTTACAAGATCCACTTAAAATTTGAAGAAAAGCTTCAAAGTCCACATTTTATAAATGTTCTATACACATCAACTGTATTAAACAGGCTAGTCCTGAAACTTTGGGCAAATGTATCAAGGCCAAGCTAACAAAGGTCAACAGGTGGAACAAAGTAATCCTTTCCTCTGAAATTGAGTTTAGGCCAATACAAGCCCTCCTCATCATGATTATAGTGACAGAGTGTGATTGTTATAAATGTTAATGTATGCTGTATGACTAAGATTACTTTAGGTAAAAATGAGTGATGCTGTCACTTAGTAGGTAACAGGTGTTGTATGCTAATTAATACACTCACACACACACACACACATATATATATATATATATATATATATATATATATATATATATATATATATATATATATATATATATATATATATATATATATATATATATATATATATATATATATATATATATATATATATATGTGTGTATGTGTATCTATAGGCCAATATGATTTAAATGATTAGTTAACATTTGTGTACAATCTATTTGCTAACATAGCTCTACTTACTTAATGCATGATAGGGCACACAAAACATGATATATACAAACTAGATGTCCCTTTTAAACAGTGTCAGATGGACAAAGACTTGTATAAAGATATATTTACTGCTCATATCAGAACAAGTACGACATGGTAGTTGCTTTTGATTCTATCATTCAGTGAAATGCACATTGACAAGAAGGAAATCTTGAAATAAGTGAAGAAAACAAACTTGAAATCTTGTGACAGAAGAGAGTCATGTGAATGTGATTCGTATATCAGTGGGAAATAAAACATCTGTTCAATCACTAATTGCTTTAATTGGTCATGAGGGGAAAAACAGTGCACACATGCTGCAGTTTTTTTATTTTAGGGACAAGAAGATATAATATAATATACATTTGAGTAGCAGTAAAAGAAAAAAATTTTAACTGCTAAAAGTTTCGTCTGTATGATCAATACTTTAAAAATGAAAGGCTGTTAGTTAAGGTCACACCAAGTAGTGATTACTAGATGAAAACCTAAACATGAGCCAAGATACTTTAAGATTAGACAGAATGGGGGAATAAGTAGGTGGACTGGTCTGAAAACATACTTTACTTTATCAAACAAAGCTTGTCAAACATTTTTACGCACAGGGGAGGGGGAGGCAGAGGCGTAGCGAGGGCGGGGGTGCAGACCAATACCTGGTGACACCATTTAGGGGGGTGACACCATGACAGAAGAAAATTTTTTTGCCAGTTCCATTAATGTTTAATTAGAGTTACATAGTACAAATCAATAATAATTACAAGAGGGTGGGTGTGACACCATGAAGTAAATGTGCGAACTATAGAAAAAAAACAATGCTACATCCAACGTATTATTAAAAAAAAATAGATAACCATCTGTACTGTTAAGTCTGCAGTGATTAAAGCTTATACGCATACATGTATACATGCGGCACACATTTAAGGCCTATGTAAGCCAACACACACAAACACACACACACACATATATATATAATATATATATATATATATACTTTGGGGGGGGGGGTCGACACCCCACCTAGCAATGCCACTGGGGGTAGGCACTTGAAATTCCAGGGATCCACAATGGACTGGTTAAAATAGAGATCTATATATTTTCTAGGATATGGGCCTACAAAATGTTTTTAATTTTGTCAGGGGTGGGGGGGTTGAGGTGCTCTGGCCTATAAACTACAATATAATAATAGGCCTATATTAATTATTAACTTATTAGGCTAAGTATTAAGATATTACTATTACCTAGTTCTTCCAGAGTCTAGATCAGGGGTTCCCAACCTTTTTTACTCTAGAGCACATTCTAAAATATCGGTAGGGTGGCGGGCACCACCTATTTTAAATCGACAAACTCCTTCCATAACTTGTCATTTTCCCATAATTTATTTTCTTATTTTCTTGTAGTCATAATGTATTAATAAATAATAAACAAAAATGTTTCAAAATAATACAATTATTTGGCATTTTTTTCAAATTGCATACACACAGAGAAATATATTTACAAAACGTAAATAGTGCAGTCTGGCTTGCCGCTAGACAAGTTGGGACAAGTATCGAACATATTTAATAAACCTAGGCAGTTAAAAAAAAATTTAAAAATGTAAGAAATAAATAAAAATAAATCATATTTTAAAATAATGTTAATGAAAAAAATTCTGTCTCTGTCGAATAGTGAGAGGACGGGCACATACGAATCGTTCAGCTGGCGCCATGGTGCCCGCGGGCACAGGGTTGGGAACCCCTGGTCTAGATCTTTAGTTAATTAGTCTACTCACTACTCAGTCTAGTTACATACAGACTAGAATATAGTACTACTAGTATATCTACTATGTGTATGTAGTATGTAGTATGTACTATGCAGTAATAGTACTAGATCTAGTAGTGTAGTACTAGTACTAGATAGTAGTTACTAGTTAGCCACTTATTAATTTCTTAGGCCTATTTTATTTATTATTTAGATCTAGATTCTAGATCTAGATAACTATTTAATTAGGGCCTACTATTATTATAATAGTTTAGTAACTATTAGCCTAGTATTACTATTTAGTATTACTATTAGTTAGGCTAGGATTGCATTTTAAAAGTTCATTTTAAAATAAATAAAATTTGTTAAGTAGGCCTATTTACTTTACTACTACTAGCCACTAGATCTCTAGATCTAGATCTAAGTCCACTATGGGCACGGGTAGATCTACATCTAAATCTAGTTTAGTTATTGTTGTAAATTTATTTTAATTTACAGTTGCACACTTCCAACTTACAGTTTATCTCGTGGACCACTGAAATCCAGGTTTTTTTTCCGTTTATCAAGTCAACTTTTGCGTGATTGTCCTATTTTTCCTTTTTTTTTACACTTTAGCAACGTTACACGACACACCTTCGGTTAGCAACAAGTTGATTGGCTACTCGAATAAGACTAGGCTATCTGTGTGTTCTATTTTCGAAAGAACTTGGGCACATATTTTGATGACGTAATTCTTACGTTTTACTGTATCACTACTATTCTACTAACAAACTAAATAAAAATAAACTCGAAAGGCGTTTCGTTGTGATTTAACAAGCTTATCACTATGTTAACTTGAGTTATGTTATGGTTTACTTGATTGCCAAGAACAACTTTATATGCAACTTTGTTTTTATTCAATTCAATTTGTGCTGAAATTCCCGTTATTTTCTTCCAGTTTTATGTTTCAACTCCCCGATAGCAGTGTTTCTTACAGACTTTTTTCTCCGGGGGGGGGGGGGCACTTGATCTTTTCGGGGGGGGGGGGGGAGGGCGGTCAGCATTTTCGGGGGAAGGGCAGGCACTTGTAAGAGTATATATTTTCTATATAAATTCCATTTCGTACGGGGGGGGGGGGGAAGACTTTCTTCGTGCCCCCCCCCCCCCCCCCCCCCGAAAAGATGCCTGGAAGAAACTCTGCCCGATGGTCTTATTCAGATAGTCGATTCATAATTTTTTTTAAATTAGGCGATATATATTTGTTAAGTAGTAGGCCTATACATGTAACGGTTAATAAAGATGTCATAAACAGACTTTTTGTAGTCCCCTGTTTGGTGTGAGCTTAAAAGGTTGTTTTATAGATTTATACACTATCTTTTAATATGCAGATTCCGCAAAAACAAGGGAACTATACTAAATGATTTCTCCGGGGGGGGGGGGGGGAGGGCGGACTAAAGTTTCCGGGGGTTGGACGGGGTGGACACTGTTAAAAGTATAGGCCCCTATATTTTCTATATAAATTTCATTTCGTTCGGGGTGGGGGGGTAGACTTCCCCCCCCCCCCCCCCCCGAAGAGATGACTGGAAGGAACTCTGACTATCTTCACTTGCCATATTTTATTAAAACACTTTCCAATACAAAATTTTGACTAATTAGACCTATATAGCCTACAGATAGGGGACGGAGGGGGAGAGGGCTGTTTATGGTAAATATGTAATAACTTAATTTGAGACTATTGCCATTTTAAAAAGGTTCGTAAGGTTAAAGGTTCGTAAGGTTGTGTACGAGGTTAAATTCACCCCCCCCCCCCCCTGAAGGTTTCGATTTGCACCCCCCCCCCTCAAACTTTTGATTTGCACCCCCCTCAACCTTTCAATTTATTTTTCCAACCCATTTTGGCGCCCCCTAAGGTCGGCGCCCGGGGCAGTGTTTCTTCCAGACTTTTTTCTCCGGGGGGGGCACTTGAAATTTTCGGGGGGGGGGGGGGGGGCGGTAGACTTTCTTCAGGGGGGGGGGCGGACACTGTTAAAAGTATATATTTTCTATATAAATTCCATTTCGTCCGGGGGGAGGGGCGTTAGACTTTCCTCACCCCCCCCCTCTCTGAAGAGATGCCTGGAAGAAACTGTGGTGACAACTCAAAATTAGAAGACAGACTGGGCTGTTATTTGAGTCGCGAAAAGGTCTGGTCAACCGTATTTTTATTACCATTTTTCTTTTTGGCGGGCGATGTTTTAGTGATAAGGGAAGTAAGTTTATTGCAACATCAACTTATCAATATTTAATGGTATTATTCCTTTATTAAAGGGAAGCAACTGAATCAAAGTTTTCCCAAACTTAAAGCCAAGTGTGTGGAGGCTAAAGTGTGATGTTTTTTAGGGGGTCGGGGGAGGGGGTCTGGCTTTTTGTGAAGATGGGAAAGGAGGTGGGAAAAAAAATAAACTAAAAATAATGACGCCATTTTACGAACGACCATTCATTATGAATGACCATTCATTACGAATTACCTTTGTATCGTGCGTATTGTGATAACGTAGCCTACTTCAGAATTAAAATACTGCGTTTTGTTTTTATATTATTTTCTGTTACATCTTTTGGTGATTCTACATACAATCTTTGGTACAATCATTTTATAAAATAGTGTATGGGCCTAGACTTAATTTCTTGGAGTACAAGCCGGAAGCTATCCTGTCTTTTCAATGAAGAGACCCGAGGTGACACCAAAAGAACAACAGGAATTGCAGGCCTACCCAGAGGTGTACAGTGTTTCTTCCAGACTTTTTTTCTCCGGGGGGGGGGGGGGGCACTTGAAATTTTCGGGGGGGGGGGGACGGGGCGGTAGACTTTCTTCGGGGGGGGGGGCGGTCGTCCCAGGCGCTGAACCCAGGGCAGTGTCTTTTTCAGGGCACTCATCGGGGGGACCGCCCCCGCCCCCAGTGCTACTTTCAGACTAGCTTCTCCGGGGGAGGCACTTGAAATTTTCGAGGGGCGGCGGACTAAATTTTCGTTCGGAGGAGGGGGTAGTAGAAGACTTTCTTCGATGGGGGGGGTGGCAGAAGAGATGACTGAAAGAAACTTGTCTTAAACGCTAAATATAAATAAAACTGAACCATGATTTTTTTTTTATTTCCTGTAATTTGAAACACTGGCAAAATCAAATAAACAGAAAAATGCTTTGAAGAAACACCAAAATACTGGAGTTGTTTTTTTTTTTTTAGGTTTTAATCATTTGAAGTTTAGAATTAAATGTCTCTCAGTTCTGGGACCATAGCCCTGATGCAGTCGTAGAATTCTTCAGACGTGGGAACGATCTGCGACGCAGGCAGGAGGAAGCCGGTGGCGCTGTTGGCCGCGGGTCTCAGCTCGAAGGCCATGGCGTAGAGATTAGTGCGGCGACGTAAGGCCCAGTCTTTGGAGGAGCCGGAGGCAGCGTCTGTCACATTGGAAGTATAAGGTTAGTTGTCACACACACACACACACACACACACATATATATATATATATATATATATATATATATATATATATATATATATATATATATAATGTACGTATAGCAAATCTATATAGCTAAATATGCCTCAACTTTAGAAATAAAAATTTTAACACCACTTACAGTTGAGAAGCTGCCAGGCAGTTCCATGGAGGTATTGGGTTCCGTGTCTGGCAATCAGGGCTTGCAACATTTTTAGGGTGACTCGGTCCTGGGTGGGGGAGGGGGAGGGGCGATAAAACAAAAGATAACAGTTTGCACCTATACAAAACCCTTTTAAACAAAAGATTACAGCTTTTCAAGGCGCTATATCCATTTTTTCAACCATCAGTTAAACTTAAATTTAACAAAAGAACAGTTTTGTATGAGGTTATCCTGACATACATACCAGTTCAGCAGCGTTTGCTGGACGAGAAACGTACTCGGTGTAACCCCATGGGACCAGGAGGAACTGAAAATGGTGAGCATTACATTTTTAAACTACAAATTGTAACAAAACAACTAATATATTTTTAAATCGAGATTTGTATACAAGATTCTTCGCAAAAAAGGAATATAATAATTCAAATTTCGATTACAGATACTTAACAACTTAAAAAACAAAATAATTTAGCCTACCACTAGTCTAGAACCTCAATATTTTTTAAAGAGTTGGAAGAATAAAGAACAAACAACACGGAAATAACGTTTTTAGTACAAGTATTGTAATTGTATTAATTTTTTTAACATTTTGTTTTTTGTTACTAAAGATTGCTGGCTTTTTTACAATAATTAAAACATGTAACTTAGATTCTATAAAAAGGTGTCGGCTTTAAAAAGGCGAATGTACATCTTGTTTCATGAAGTTTTACTTTTAGCCACTTCAGGTCATACTAAAAACCGACCAAAGCAAAATACCATTAATTTTTCGTTTTGTACCCCAAAAAGTAAACTACAACATTCCTCTATTTGGTGGGGATTTTACAACAAAGCTAATAACTAGAAAAAGTTACCTTTTGAAATGTGAATGTAAAACTACACGTATGTGACATTAATTTACAAGAGAGAAAATAGAAGTGACCGTAACATGTTAAATATGACATGTAAACGACAAGAAATTGATAGTAAAGTTGTGTGATAGAAACTACGATACCTGTGAGTAAGCATGCACGCCCAGATAAGCAACGATGTTGGGGTACAGGCTATCAAAGAGGTCTCTGATGTTGGCGGTCTCAGGCTCGGAGAAAGGTCCGGTGCCGGGGTAGATGTCGCTGGCACAGTTGGTGGAGATGCCGGTGGCTGGAATAAAGTTTTCCATTGTATTTTACTACTGACGGGTTTGTTACTGTGGGAGTCCACCCAGCTGTGATGGGTACCTGACTTACGTTGGGAAAAGTAAAGGTGGTTGGGCATAGTGTTGACAACACCGTCCCTTTATATGCCGAGGTTTAGAAACATATGAACTACTTCATCTTCCCCAATGATCGTTAGGTCTAAATCTTTATTAGTAGGAATCTTTATTTATTTTTTAATATTACTAAAATTTTAAGCTTTTAATTGATGCATTTAATACCATATGCTAAGTCGGGACGGGTTGACCTCAACCTGCAGCGTAAGGTATTTAATGCTAAATACACTACAGATTTATTGTAAACACAGATCCGAGTTTTTGACAAGTTATTGTGCTTTGACTTACTTCCCCACATGGCGTCAAAGTTTCTGTTCAGATCGACGCCAGTACATCTGGAGCTGATGTAACGTTTGTTCTTTCTCCACATGCGGTTCTGGGTGTAAGAAAAGCACATTACATTTTTTATTTGAGTTTAATCTGTTAAAAGTGATTTTTGGTTAGAATTTAACATAGTGTTGGTTCTTTGCGTGTTCACAGAGAACGTAGTTTTTGCTTGTATAGCTGAGCTAACTATAGCCCTATTTTAGTCCAGATTCTAATCATTTTGTATTTGCTTGCTCCCAGAAAAATGCGCGACCGAAAACTGCTCAAAATAGAACATTGAGCAAACACAAACTCAATCCACATACACTTCCATTTAGTCATATTTCGTGAACATTTTTTTTTATTATGTTACAATCTACATGTGGTTATTTTTTGCTAACGTCTTAAAATTATCGATTTTTTAAAATACCATAGCGTAGTTTCGTTTTCTGTTGCGCGTTTTTTCTAGTCACCGTATTCGCCATGCCTGTGTAAAAGACGACCGCTCTCATTATTAAAAAAAACTTACACTGTTGAATGTGTGTTCATAGCCATCAGGATTGGCGACTGGGATGAAGTACCAATCGTATTTGTCCAGCATCAGTCTAGCTGTGGCGTCGTTTGCTGTGTAGTCCATGGCGAGCTGAAATAACGAGATCATCTGTAAGAAAACAATTCTCTACTTCCAGTTAATTTTTTAAAATTTAATTTGGAGTAATGCATTGCTAATTCTGTAATCATCATTATCTTTTTTCCCGTTCGTGCCCAAGACATATGTGGCAGATGAAGTAAAGTGAGGTCAGCACTATGCCCAACATCTTTTACTTTCCCTAACGTACAGTTATATATGAAATTTCATATAGAAGTATTAAAGCAAATCTTTTACTTTCCTTAACGTGAGCTAGGTACCCATCATAGGTGGGTGGATTCGGGGACATTTAACTGAGACTTTCGGGTTAGCAGACTATCTTTCTACTGCTAGACCACGCCGTCCCATCTATTTTGTAATAGTGCGCTAAATCACAAAGTGTGGTTTTGATTATGTGACGCCTTAATAAAACACAAATTAGGCCTACAAGTGACTCTATGGCGTTATATTCCAGTTATTTTTCTAAGCGGGATGAAACAGCTCCTATAAATGGACTTGTTCGTCCAATAAAGCTTTGTCTTCCTCCTCCACGATGGGCTGTCTAGCCCACTCTACCTGACGATGTCCAACAGACTCAGTCTATGAATTCCCCTGTATCCAACGCCAACACCGCGTGAAATAAAGGCTACTGATTGGATTACCTTTTCTATGACCCACAATCCTATGGCGTGGATGTCTGTCTCATGAAATAAAGGCTACTGAATGGATTACCTTTTTTATGAGTCCTGTTGATATGGATACCCACTACCTAGCGTGGTTGTCTGTCTCATGAAATAAAGGCTACTGAATGGGTTACCTTTTCAATGACCCTGTGGCGATGGTGACCCACTCTCTAGCGTGGATGCCTGTCTCACGAAATAAGGGCTGCTGAATTGATTACCTTTTCAATAACTCACAGTCCTGTGGCGTGGATGCCTGTCTCTTGAAATAAGGGCTACTGAATGGATTACCTTTTCTATGAGTCCTGTTGATATGGATACCCACTACCTAGCGTGGTTGTCTGTCTCATGAAATAAAGGCTACTGAATGGATTACCTTTTCAATGACCCACAGTCCTGTGGCAATAGTGACCCACTCTCTGGCGTGGATGCCAGTCTCGACGATAATGGCTTGCTTGTTGGCACCAGCGGATCCTGTCATCTAGAACAATGAACGGGACAATCAAAAACGTGACCACTAGTTTGACATGGATTTATTTTATTCTTCTTTTTTATTTTGGGGGATTGGGTGTTAATATGTTATGCATTATAATTTCTTTCAGACATTTTCCCCCTGTGGGGTGCCACTTCCCGAGGGGGGTGGGAGCACTTAAAATTTCTGGGTAGGAGGTGGAAAGTGGTTTCAGTATATATTTTAATATAAATTATACATTTTCTAGATCTTTTGTTGTTGTTTTTTGTTGTTTTTTTTTAAATTTAAATTTATTTTTATTAATTTTTTTTTGAGGGGGGGGGGGGGGGGGGGTTAGCGTGCTATGGGGAGAGGGCCAGTGCCTACCCTAAGGAAATATATCTGAAAGAAACTATGGCCATATAGCCCGTTGAATTCAACTTCAGCCTACCACTCTATCCTTTTTTAACCAAGAAAAATCATTATTATTTTCAAGTCTACTATCTTTAAAAAATAAACATGAAAGGAAATTACCTTGACAAGGTAGACCACTCTACCTTCGTGTGTGATGTAGTTGAGGTTAGACAACTGGATCAGGGATGGGTACGTGTTTTTGAGTTCATTAAGGTAGTTCACAATCTACAGAACAAAAAGGGGTTTAAAAATAAGATGTTATACATAAAACGGCAGACTGACTATAAAAATCTCTGTTTATTATTATTTGCTTTGGTGTACATAGACAAATACCATTAAAACATGCCACATTCATAGATAATAAACATTTTTAATAGTTACTGACGTAAAACTAAAAAAAAACATACATTAGTCCGTGTTGCTTGTAACAATATTTGAAGACGCATGTTAAATATAGACATATAATTTAAAAATACTACAATGGAATTTTATTTTTCACCTTTAATTAGTCAATGGTCCACACCTTTTTTTAGGAAAACATACCTGGTTGTAGGTGTGGTAGTTGTAGTGGTCAATTTTAGCACCTGTCAGCTCGCGCTTTCTGGCAACCTCCTCTTCTGATGTACGAACTGAGCCAGCCTCAACGACTCTAGAGAAAAAAAGATTAAAGGTCTTTGACATTTCGTTTATCTGTGTACCTTTTAAGGCACGTTGTAACTACCCCGCTACCTATTAGAGACTTGTACATCGTATGTAGCCCTTGCTCATCAAGAACGTGTAACTACTGACCATCAAGCAGATGAAAATAAAGTATCTGTTTCTTTTTATCTTACCACAAGAAGAAATAATGTGGTCAGCGCTATATCTAGCCGCCTTTACATTATACAACTAGAGCTAGGTACCCATTAAAGCTGAGTAAACTCGAATATGTCCTATGTAAAAAGACTCAAGAAAGTTGTGTGAGTAGCTATTCCGTTGTTGAAACATAACATAACAGATGAAGGTCGCCTAGAGTAACCAAATCTGCAATACTTGACTAAAAAATGTATAACCTTATCTGTGACCTGTGTACATACTACTCACTTCTGGACATCGTTGACCGCGATGACGTAGCTGATGCCCTGCTGGTCAAGTTTGTTCTTGAACAAGTTCAGCAGGGTGGGAGGGACCATGACGGTGGCGTTGTGCTCATGGGTAGGTTCGATCCAGAAGTCGATCTGCAGTTTTAGTGGATGAATACAACAGTATTAATAAAACTACACTTCGAAAGCTTTCAAATTAAAGCCAGAGTTTCTTCCAGGCATCTCTTCTACCCACCACCTCCTCCATCCCAAACGAATTTATATAGTAAAAATATACTTTTACTGTTGTCGGCCCTTCCCCCCCCCCCCCCCCCCCCAGAAAATATCAAGTGATTCCCCCCTTCCCCCCGGAGAAAAAAAGGTCTGGAAGAAACACTGATTGAAGCACGCACACAATACAAAATAACCGGAAGTGAACTCCCCTAAACTTTCTCGAATATTCTTATATAACACTACAGGGGATGGTAACTCGGGACATAGGCACGATTTTTAATCCATTTTTAAACTTTTAAAAATAGAATAGAATCTCGTATAAAAAAAGAATTGCACACCAAGTGATCGCCAAACAAAATGTGTATAATAGTGCGGAATATTATTAGTACTTTATAAATTCACACGCGTTTTTTGAGAAATCGGAAATATCCAAAATTATTGCTTCCGATCAACGGAAGTTACACAAAATTTGATAGAAGGTAGAGAATTAGATATTATACTTATATGTGAAATTTCATTTATCTATTTGAAACAGTACTCAAGTAATAGGCTTTTGAAAAATTGAAAGTAGAAAAAGTTCTACTTCCGATTATCGGAAATCGCTGAAACGATGAAACAGATATACAAATTTGATATAATACTTGTAGGTGAAATTTCATCAACCTAGCTGTAACGGTACTCAAGTTATCATGTTTACAGACGCACAGAGAGAGAGAGAGAGAGAGAGAGAGAGAGAGAGGGATAGAGAGAGAGACATACGGACAAGATTGCAAAACTATGTTTTTCCGACTCAGGGAGGTGTAAAATGTCGAGATTTGCAAAAATCTCGATTTTTTTTTTTTTGCACGATTACAATACTTTCTCTATACTTTGTATACGAGAAAGTAAAACAGCTAAACTGTTGAGTGCTTCAGATATATTAGACGAGTTTACTGTTAGTCTGAAAAAGCCTCGATTGTTAGTTTGGCTAAAAATAAAAATGTGAATTAATACAATTTATTAACTCTTTAAAGGCTATGTTTTCCCATAACTCTAACCGTAAACATTTCTGACAATAACTAACTCTTTTAAATACTATTATTTAAGTGGAATTTGCATTTTACACCCACCCCACATTGAACTGCCAGGCCAAATAAAACTATCCAAACTTACATCAACGTAATCCTCTCCTATCTGGTGCAGAAAGTGGACGTCATCCACGTTACGTGAGTACACGAACAGAAGCTGGAAGCTGTGAATAGATTTCAAGATTCAGGGTTTATTTTTATTTCAAGTTACGTGAGTACACGAACAGAAACTGGAAGCTGTGGAGATAGGAGGAACATTAGTGTAAACGTTGTACTTAATATTTCTACAAGCCTCCTGATGCCCTGTCAAAGGTGTCAACAACCCCACGTCTACACAGACTCCTGCTGTCTAAGGTACTGATCCCCCTCCCCATCACAGACTCTTGCTAAGGTACCGACCCCCAAATCCACACACACTCCTACTGTCTAATGTACTGACCCCCTCCACTACACAGACAACTGCTAAGGTACCGACCCCCAAATCCACACACACTCCTACTGTCTAAGGTACTGACCCCCTACCCCTAATCACACTCCTGATGTCTAAGGTACCGACCCCAACAGCTACACACACTCCTACTGTCTAAGGTACTGACCCCCCCCCCCCCCCACAGCTACACGGACAAAGGTACCAAATCCCCACCCCTACACACACTCCTACTGTCTAAGGTACTGACCCCTCCCCCTCAACACACACTTCATCTGTTTAGTACTCACCCATCAAACCTGTCCTGCTCGGCACACACAGCCAGAGCTGTAGCCAACAGCAGACACAGAGAGAAAGTTAGACTGGCCATGGTGGAGCTGGAAAAAATCGAACATTCGACAAATATAAGTTAGACTTTATTGTTTGACAACTGAGTTCGTAAAGATGCCAATTTTAAAAGATGTATATATCTGTGCTCTGCGAGCAAGGGAGGGGGGGGGGTCTAACTTCTTCCTTTTCTTACATTCTCGATGTTTTTCAAAACTTCAATGCAACCCATCAATTAAACAATTTTTTTTAGCCCTTTCAACATTTAATAATGCTGATAAAATCTGGCTTGCTTATTTCTGGGGAATTATTGCAGTAGTTATTCTGCCGCCCCACTAGGATATAGGCCGCTAAATACAGGCTTCCAAGCAATTCGGTTCTAGCTAGTTTTCCAACTGTCTCCAGTGGTAGCCTATATTGTTTGTGTCGCTCTCTCAAAGCGTTTCCTTGTTGTTTTTTTTTTTTTGGCCTGCCGCATTTTACACTCATCAGGAACCCCCTGGGCAAAGGAAGCAGAAGTACTGTGGCTCTCGTGATGTCCGACAGCCTTAGCTTTATCTGAATTCACTCTGGAATCTTCAGTTTCACTTGGTGACAAAACTAAACATTTTAATTTTGCAATGGATCGCTTTAACCACATGCAGGTTTTTAACTTATTTTATTTCAAGCGTTTTGTCAAGGGTCGCTTTATCCAAATGCAGTTTTTGTTAAATTTTCTGAATACGAAGGCAGCATTTTTTATTTATTTTATCACGCTTGAAATTTTTTAAATAAAGTAAATTAACGATAATCCCAGCCAAAGATCCTGAGAAGTGAGGCTACAATCACTGATCCACTTACCTGGCAAGTTTTGTGACAAGATTTCAGAGTGGCCAGTTTTTATAGAAACTGCAAGCCATTTACGATCATGTAAACTCGATGTTTGGTTACAATAAAAGTTCACGGCAAATTGCGTTTACGATAGAAAAATTGCAAGGAAAAACAGTAGTCCAATTAGATGAATTATTAATGGTCACGATTTCGTAACCGAATGTATATCAAAAAGTATTTTTTTATCTGTGTCAAGTCTAACTACAATAATCATTATTGGTTTGTTGGAATATGCTTTAATGTACTTTTAAAGATAATAATAATGGATGGTAGAAATATTGTAGATCTTAATCTAAAAGATTAGTACTAAAAATTAACATTAACCTTTGAGTGAAGTAATTTTTTGTAACAGACTGGGTTTTTGTAAAGTAACATGACTGCTTTTTTTTTGTGAACAGAACATTTTTACAACAGACTGCTCCTGCTTTTTTCTGAAGTAATACTTTTGTAACAGACTATTTTTTCTGAAGTAATACTATGTAACAGACTATTTTTTCTGAAGTAATACTTTTGTAACAGATTATTTTTTCTGAAGTAATACTATGTAACAGACTATTTTTTCTCAAGTTATACTATGTAACAGACTATTTTTTCTCAAGTTATACTATGTAACAGACTATTTTTTCTCAAGTTATACTATGTAACAGACTATTTTTTCTCAAGTTATACTATGTAACAGACTATTTTTTCTCAAGTTATACTATGTAACAGACTATTTTTTTTTGAAGTAATACTATGTAACAGACTATTTTTTCTGAAGTAATTATGTAACAGACTATTTTTTCTGAAGTAACATTTTAGTCACAGCCTCCTGAGAGAAAGCCATCGTGTTTTTAGTGAGAAAAGGTTGGTAAGAGTGATTTCAGTTGTGAAAGTAGGTTAGAGATAACCATAGCAACAAGATATATTGCGGCCACCTGTCGGTCTGTCTAGGAGGTCCCAGGCTTCGAGTATATTCAAGTGGTGGTTTCTTGTCGTAACTCTCCCATAAAAATAAAGTTAACGTTAGTGGATTAGGCAGTGCGCATGTATGGAAAACATGATGGGGATATTTTTTTTTAGCATCTCTTGTTGTTTTCTTCATTTTAATTCTAAACGTGTTTTCTGAGTTTAATGAAACGGTTTTTAAATGTTAAATCCGCCATCACTTCTGATGTCGTATTGGATATCAGCTACAGTTTTCATTTCTTCTTCTGGGCAATTCTCTCGATGGCGTCTGATCATATTCTTCAAACTTGGTGTTTTTGTGACGCCCTGGTTTCCGTCTCCATCAATTCTGTAAGCCTAGTGTTTTTGTGAAGTCACCTTTCATAGTAGACCTGCCTAAAAGAGAGGTGATCTTTTTCGTCTTTAAACAGGCAATGCCATATCTTCAAGGTAGTTTTTACTTATAGTATCTGGTCAACGAATGTACGGAGTTTTTCTCCTACAGTTGTTTCTATAACTAACTTCGTCATGGCTGTATAACTGGCTGATCCCTCTAAGTCTCTATTTCACCTCCTAAGACGATACGATCTTCAGTAATACTTAGTTGTATTTTTTTTTTTTTTTTTTTAATAAAAGGTGGCTGTGGAATTATTGATAAACGCGATAGTAAATTTTGACAACTTGTAGAATATTCATCGTTTCTAATTCTTTTTTTTTTTTAAGTTATGAGTTTGAAATCTACGACCTGCTTACCTGGCAAGTAGCTTTCTACCATTGATTTCATGATGGCCAGATTTTATAGAAGCGTGATGCCATTTATGATCATGTAAGCAGGATGTTTGGTCGACATAAACACATAAAAATTTAGTTATAGCTCAATGACTTCAAATGTTGGTCACGATTTGGCATGGGAAAGATTTTGTGTCTATCCGGGGTCGGCGTGGTCGAGTCGGTAAAGCTCATGGTTGCTAAACCGAAAAGACACGAGTTCGAACCCTCGGGCAGATGAGGCTCGCTAGCTGGGGATAGCCACTCCTCTCTAGGTCTAACTCCAAAATCAAACAACTGCTGACTTGTAATTTGTTCTTGGTTGGACAAAGACTACGGAAACAAATCCAAAAAGAAAAGCAGGCTAAAATCCGAGTCAATGTGGCGCATAAAGAGTTGACACGTATACTTAATAATAATTGTGTTTGAGAAGATCCCTTCCAACACTAAAATTAAGAATGCCTACAAGGATTTACCCATTGATTTAATTGTTTTCTACATCATTTGTGTGGCACCACAATAGAAACCTTTACGGGATAGTCACTGATTCAAAGCGCCACCAACCATTCAGCTAGGGGGCGCTTCACCAACATGAATAATTATAATGGAGGGGGGGGAGGGGCAAAAAATTGATATTTCGCGAATTTAATAGATAAAATTAGCAGGGGGTAGAAATGTTCAGCTTGAAATTTGACTAACAGTGATGCATCAATTAGAAGCCGCAAAAAAAGACTAGATAAAAATATCATGACTAAAAACGTCAGCAGTGTTTTCTTTTCGTTTGTTGATTTTTATTTTTTATTGTTTTCCTCTACTATTTATTACATTCTATATCTTTAAAATAAAAACACAATTTGGAAAATAGGTAAAAATAATACAATTAGTTGTTTGTTTTTTTTCTAAATTAAATTTGCTATTCGGGAAAACGGCCTTGGTGCAAGCAGTGGCGTAGCGAGGTCGGGTGTCACCCAGTGCGGCACTTAATGGTGTCACCCCCCAGAGGCGTAGCGACCCTTTCCGGGGACAAACTTTCAATTTTCGATTTGCCCCCCCCCCCCCCCCCAAACTTTCGATTTGCACCACCCCCCTCAAATTTTTCTCTATATATTTTGCTATTTTTTGCCTTGGTGTCACCCCCCTAAATGGTGTCACCCGGTGCGGTCCGCACCCCACGCCCCCCCCCCCCCTTGCTACGCCTCTGGGTGCAAGCGTCTTTCGGGAATTTGTCGTAGACGCATAAAATCTATCTTGGAGAGACAACTTCGAGATCAAACAGGAGTTAAGCCCCTTATGTGAAATGATTTCCGACTCTGGTTTCCCTTGTTGCAACTTCCGCAACCACAATAATAATAATAATACTAGTAGATGCCAGTTTAAAACGTAGCAAATAAAACCCATCGTGACTAGTGACGGAGCTATAAGTTAAATTTTTAAAAAGAATCGACAAAATATTCTCCCTATTTATGTTTTTATCCGATAACAGATCACGTGATATTTCACTTTAGCTCTGGAGCCATGGCTCTGAGACTTTCGTAGAACTCCTCGGCTGTTGGGACGATCTCCGAGGGAGGTAAGAGAAAACCAACGGGGTTGTCTTCCGTTGGTCTCAACTCGAAGGACATGGAGTAGATGTTTCTACTGCGACGTAAGGCCCAGTCTTTAGAGGTGCCCGCGGCAGCGTCTGTAGGAAATATAGGCTTGGTTGATGTATGTCTCCTAGTTTTAGTGTGAGATTTTAAATATATATATATATATATATATATATATATATATATATATATATATATATATATATATATATACATATATATATATATATATATATATATATATATATATATATATATATACATATATATATATATATATATATATATATATATATATATATATATATATATATATATATACATATATATATATATATATATATATATATATGTATATATATATATATATATATATGTATATATATATATATATATATATATATATATATATATATATATATATATGAATGAATGAATTAATTAATTAATTAACGAATTAATGATTTAATGAATTAATGAATCGTCATATGTGTGTATGTGTGTTTGTGTGTGTATGTGTGCGTGCGTGCATGCGTGTGTGTGTGTGTGTGCGTGTGTGTGTATGTGTGAGTGATGAGAATACGGATGTAACATTTCTTACAGTTGAGGACTTCCCAGGCAGTGCCGAACTCATAATGAGAGCCGTGTTTGCCTTTCAGAGCCTTCCACATTTTATAAGCCACGCGATTCTGTTTGGGGTGAAAATGGGTGTGAGGTGAGGGAGGTTGCAAAGTTTACAATTACTGTTTGTGTGTCTGTGTATATATATATATATATATATATATATATATATATATATATATATATATATATATATATATATATATATATATATGTGTGTGTGTGTGTGTGTGTGTATATATATAATGTATAAATATATATATATATATATATATATAATATTCATTTATTTATTTATTTATTTATTACACAATACTATTGTTGCATAATTTTTCACCACTTGATGTAAAGGCCCAATAGGGCTGTTAAGTAGGTCAACAACCAGTTCTATTGCTCATGATGCCGTAGAACTGGTTGGTGACCTACTTAACAGCCCTATTATTGATGATGGGAGAAACCTACCAGTTCAGCGGCGTTGGGTGGGAGTGACAAATATTTGGTGTAACCCCATGGGACCAGGAGGAGCTGAAACGGTGGTTGTTAAAATGTTTACAACTTTAAATGAAACGGTGATCGTTAAACTGTTTACAACTTACATTGTATGAAAACTAATAAACTTTTCAAGCGTGTGGAAATAATCGTTCAAGCGTTCATTTACTTTTATTAAAACAATTATAATTTGGCTACAAATATATTTCGCCTAAGTACTTGTATTAATAAATAAACAAACTAAAGAGGGTTATTATTGAAATACTTGTACTTGTATTAATAAATAAACTAAAGAGGGTTATTATTGAAATAACTTGTAATAACTTCTGTATTTCAATAATTCTTTGATATTTTTAGGTATGATTTTGTATTTTATGTCTTATACGACTTTTCCACTGTTTCATACCGTGAAAAAAGTGCTAAACATTATTAGACATTTGTCCATTTAAATACCATAACCCCCCCCCCCCCCCAACTATTTTTTATGTTGCTTACTACAACAAATACAAACAGCAGCATTGTCTATCTTTCTTGGTGTAAAAATAGAAAGTGATCAAACAATGAAAATACGATGGCGGTAAAGTTTGATGCTAGTCATTACGACACCTGGGAGTATGCATGCACGGACAGGTAGGCGAGGACTTTGTATCGGATGCCGTTGAAGAGGTCTCTGATGTTGGCGGTCTCAGGCTCGGAGAAAGGTCCGGTGCCGGGGTAGATGTCGCTGGCACAGTTGGTGGAGATGCCGGTGGCTGAGAGAAATATTACACTATTTTTGTATTGTAAGCCTTAAGGAACCGCGTGGTCGAATAGTAAAGTGTTTAACTGATAACCCAAAAGTCCCGAGTTCGGATTCGGGGCTGGAGTCTGTACGAAATCCACATATTTTTTCTAGGTACCTGACTCACGTTAAGAAAAATAAAGGCGACTGGTCATTGCACTGACTACACTATCCCTTCATAATATGCCAAGGCAGTGGCGTAGCGAGGTCGGGTGTCACCTGGTGCGGCACTTAATGGTGTCACCCCCAGAGGCGTAGCGACCCTTCCCGGGACAAACTTTCAATTTTCGATTTGCACCCCCCCCCCCCTCCTCAAACTTTCGATTTGCACCTCTTAAAACATTATTTAACACTCGAATTAATCACTTAATTCAAGTGGAATTATCATCATTTTTCTCTATATATTTTGCTATTTTTTGCCTTGGTGCCCCCCCTAAATGGTGAAAATCCCTAGTTCGGATCCCTGGCTAGAGCCAGTATGATTTCATTGAGTTCACTCAACCCTGATAGGTACCTGTATTAAGTTAGGGAAACTAAACGCTGCTGGGCATAGTGCTAACTCCAATATCTCTTCATATGCCGAGGTCACAGAAAAAATGTGAACACTACCAAATTTGAAAGGGTAAATATTTTTTTTAATTGACTTTATAATAGAACCAAAGAATGACTTACTTCCCCACCTGGCTTTAAAGTTTCTGTTCAGATCGACGCCAGTACATCTGGAGCTGATGTAACGTTTGTTCTTTCTCCACATGCGGTTCTGGTGTGAGGAGAGAAAATTTAAGATTGTTGCTCCAGTTCACTCGAAAAAAATGGAATGGTGTGGCCGGGTCAGTAGAGTTTTCTACTACTACCTCAAGAGTCTCGAGTTCAGATCTCGGGCCCGAGTCCCAAAGACTTCAATGTGGCCACCCAGATCTAGAAACTAAAGTCGACAGTGCATGGTACTGACAACATTCAGTATGTTTAGTCACATCAAGATATGAACTACTCCATCTGCCTTATTGACCTTCACATCCAAAAAGTGTGATTTACTTGACAAAACTAATTTTTAAAAATCTCGTAAAACCTCTGGTTGGTATTTCAAAACTAATTCTCTAAATCTAACATCTGAGTTGATGGCACGCTGTATTTGCCTTGCTCGCGAACGCCCGAGAAACCCACTAGTCATTATAAACCAACTTATGGTAGAGTGTGTATGCACGTAACCATCAGGGTTGGCGACTGGGATGAAGTACCAATCATATCTGTCCAACATCAGTCTAGCGGTGGTATCGTTTGCTTTGTAATCTATGGCAAGCTGTATGAGACAACATTTTTCATATTGTGGCTGGTCAAAATAGAAGGCAATACATTCGGTGTTTATGTGATGGTCAGATTTAATATATTTTGATGCAAAAACAGTAAAATAGCAGGATTTGGCATGTTTGTGATTTGTATGTTGGTGGTGACGTGAACGGGTTGGAAAGCTCTAGACTGCTGAACCGAAATTCCCGAGTTCGAAATCTTGGGAAGATGAGGATCGTAGCCTGGGGATAAAATCCAGGACTCGGACGTTTTCCCGACAAACGCCCGAATGGACACTTGCACGAATTTAACAAATACTCATGAGGCAAGTGTCCTATCCGGAAAACGACCTTCAGGCAAATGGCAATAAGTCAAGCGTCTTTCGGGAATTTGTCCTTTGTCTCACAAGTTGTATTTTTAGATATTTCTTTTGTGTCGTATGATTTATTTATTCTACACATAAATATCTGCTGTTTAAAAACCACACAAGACACGGTGGTTTACAGAAACATTTTTCACTAGGCCAGTGCAGGGCCTAGCCGGGATGGCTAGTACATGAATAAAGGGCTAGAGAAAGGGCTTTAGCGTTTCCCCACCCACACGCTACAGTATCGGATTCACCGCCCGCGCCTTCTGAATTTTAACTTCCCATCCCGTTCAGAGTTAGATGTTCCTCTGGGAACATGAAAGAGAGAGATGGAAGAAGAAGTGCAGGCTACTGGCAAGACCTGGCATGAACTAAAGTGGCTCGCCCAAGACAGAGTGGAATGGCTGAGATTTGTTGTTGCCCTATACTCCACAGGGAGTGATCAGGATTAAGTAAGTAAGTAAATAATCCCGTTCAGTAATTCTATTGCGATTACTCAAAGAATAACTTTTTCAACCCGTTACCATCCGCGGAGGTAATTAAATTAATTAAACTGATTACCTTTTCTATGACCCACAATACTGTGGCGGGTGAGATCCATTCTCGAGCGTGCATGCCAGCTTCAATAATAATGGCTTTCTTGCGGGATCTAGCGGCACCTGACAACTAAGTCAAAAATAGGCAAAATAAAAGATTACAACATGCATACATAGATTGTTTTTTTTTTACTTAATTAATTATATTTATCATACTTTCCAGCATGTAAGAATAGGGCTGGTAAGTAGGCCACCAACCAGTTATATGGCTCATGCAGGTTTTATTGAGCCGTAGTACTGGTTGGTGACCTACTTACCAGCCCTATTGGGCGCATAAGATCAAGCATCAGTGACAAAAATAGAGGTGAGAAAAGTAGCGAGTATACAGTAAAGAATCCTCCTTGGACCTAGCGATCCATTGGACATATGAAGTAGAGTTCGTATATTTTTTCACCTCGGCATATGAAGGTAATGTGTGGTCAGCACTTTTCCCGGCCGCCTTTACTTTCCCTAACATGTTGGGTGGACCCAGGGACGTTCTGCTGACTTGGACCCGGATTCGAACTCGAGACTTCCTGGTTAGCAGCCTAGCGCTCTACCGCTCAGGCCACGCTGTCTCATATATACTCGCCATATAATACCAGACTCAGGGTGACCCCAGATTTTACCCTGGGTTAAAAAAGCGTTGTATACGGCGGAATATATTTGGTTATTCAATTTCTTATTGTAGTGCATCAAATAGTTTGCTATTGTAAGTAAAGTAAAAATTCCTCTTTAAACCTAGCGATTCATCGGGTAAATGAAGTAGAGCTAATATGTATCCTGACCTCGGCACTCAAGGGGATGTGGTCAGCAGTATGCTTTGTCATTATAACGGTTTTATATTTATTTAATTTAAAAACTAATTAATAGCAAAAAACATAAAATGTTTATTAAAAAAGCGTTCACCTTGACCGTGTGGACTGCCCTCCCCTCGTGGGTCTGGTGCTTGAGGTGGGATACATTGATGAGACGAGGGTAGGCGCTTTGGAGTACTTCAAGAAACGACACGATCTACGGAACAAGACGAGAGAAAAAATTGTCATTCAAAGTTAGCCTTGCTAAACCCCCATATGTTAAAAACAAGGCGTTAACGCTTAGAATATATACAGGGTACATGTCTAGGGGACAGATCTAACAGCGGCTTAACTTATCTCAAACTTTGTATTTGTGCAACATGTTTAAAGCGACAAGTTCGGGACTTGTAGTACATGTTAAAAGCAACAGTTCGGTATTTGTAGAACATGTTATTAAATTACAATACAAATTAATAGCCAAAATTTAGACTATGTTCCCAACTCCCAAATTACTTTTTTTTTTTTAACTTTTTTTTTTAAAACAAAAAAATGTTTAGTCTTCTGCCTCCTGGGAATCAGGCCTCTTGAAGAAAAGTACGTTTTGTTACATGAAATATTAATCAGTAAACATTGAATAGAGCAGTTGTCTTTTGCCTTTTTGGTGATACCGTCCATCTCTACCCCCCCCCCCAGTTTCTATCGTCCGCACTGACAAACTCCCATCGCGAAATATAGGTCGGATGTAGCCTATATAGACCCCGCTGAACCCCCTGAGACAAACTCACTGAACCCCTAGGGTTCGATCGCACCCATAACCACTGGAATCAGTGTTTCTTCCAGATTTTTTCTCTCCGGGGGGGGGGGGGGGGCACTTGAAATTTTCGGGGGGGGGGGGGGGCGGTACACTTTCTTCGGGGGGGGGGGGCGGACACTGTTAAAAGAAAATATTTTCTATATAAATTATATAAATTTCATTTCGTTCGGGGGGGGGGGGGGCGGTAAAAAAAATTTCGTGGGGGGGGGGGGGGGGGGCGAAGAGATGCCTGGAAGAAACTCTGACTGGAATAGACCGTGTAATTTCATATTAGAGCTATTTATTGAGCTAGTCAGCCCGCATCGTCATCAACCGTAGTATCTCCGCTTAAACTTTGTATTTGTAAAAAGTGTATTATGTTTGATGAAACATATGCCAACCCAGTAACAAGATATTTGCACACACACACACACACACACAAAAACTAGACGTCAGTTGGGAAAGGCAGGTGGTGTTTGGATCGGATACGATTCATGACATTAGTAACGGTAAACTATAACAAGCTATAATTACTGAAATTTGTCAGTTGGTCGGTTTGGTTCGATACGATTCCTGACATTAGAAAGTTTATACTATAACAAGATGTGTTTACTAGAGTACTCGTTAACTGCCCAGACTGATTTGAAATCAATGTTTCAGGGGATCTCAAGTTTTTCTAATGTTTAGAGTTTTTTCCAGGCATCTCTTCGGGGGGGGGGTGGGTCTAAGCCCCCCCCCCATCCATCGATCCATCCATCCATCCATCCATCCATCCATCCATCCATCCATCCATCCATCCATCCATCCATCCATCCATCCATCCATCCATCCATCCATCCATCCATCCATCCATCCATCCATCCATCCATCCATCCATCCATCCATCCATCCATCCATCCATCCATCCATCCATCCATTCATTCATTCATTCATTCATTTATTCATTTATATGGAAAATCTATATTTTTAATAGTGTGCCCCGTAAATCTCAAGTGCCCCCCCCCCCCCCCACAAAGAAAAAAATCTGGAAGAAACACTGCTAATGTTGTACCAGATTAATAATCCCGTCGTTTTCTTCTAGTTGACGGGGCGCGACTATTACCTGCTCGTAGGTGTGGTAGTTGGTGTGGTCACCTATGGTACCAGACTCCAGACATCTCTTTGTCACTTCCTCGTCAGGTGTACGCACAGAGCCGGCGTCCACCATTCTAAAATAAAGAGATACGGTCGTCAAATGTCTATGTGTACATATGTTTTGATACTTCTCGATACGATTTAAAAATCAGATGATAGCACACGTTGCTTTATTATCACAATACTTTAAATAAAATATTGCATTCGTATTAAATTGATTCCACGCCAGTGGCGTATACGACGGGGAGGCAGGGGGTGCCAAAATAAGCTTATTTTAGCTGCTATTTTGAATTATAAATATAAATTATATACGGGGGGCGCCTAATTGAAAGTTTGTCCCCGGGCGCCGGGAGGGGTAGCTACGCCTCTGTTCAACGCCGTGCATATTTTCAAGTATTTTTGTCAGATACTCACAAACTATGCATTTTTAAAAACCGTTTTAAAATCAACTGTGGCTATCACTTACTTCTGGACATCGTTGACCATGATGACGTAGCTGATCCCCTGCTGGTCAAGTTTGTTCTTGAATATGTTGAGCAGGGTGGGAGGGACCATGACGGTGGCGTTATGCCCGGGGGTAGCCTCTCTCCAGAAGTCGATCTGATGTTTCAGTTGAATACAATTATTTTTACAACGCTGTTGCTTTTTCTTTGACCAGCTATAATTATATTTGTTTCTAATTTTACCCCCCCCCCCCACCCCCCACACACACACCCGGAATAAAATTACATATAATCTAAACTGTTTTATCAACTTTTTCCTGTCGTTATCATTGGTTTTTGCAAATGAGCGATACAGTTTAATTAAACGCTCTTGTTAAGACAAACATGAAACGGTTCTCAAAATAAACAAACAAAGCATTACTGCTTAGAAAAGTTGAATTAAATTTTGATATAATTTAGATTTAAAAAGAACCAACTCAAATGTATCTTTAATCTAAAGCACTGACCCAATCCTCGGCATAATCTAAACAAGAGTTACTTAAAACTATTCTACAAAAAAAGAATAATTATTTTTAAGTCAACTGTTTTTGACAGAAAAGTGTCCTTACATTTGATTCGCGGCATGACAAGCATGATTTTTAACAAAATAATTGACATGTGACTTATATTCAGATTTTCTTTCAGGCAGCTCTTCGGGGAGGGGTGTGTGGAGCCCCCTTGAAGATCATCTACCCCCCCCCCCCCATCGAACGAAATAGAATTTATATATAAAATATATACTTCTACCAATGTCCCCGTTCCCCCACCGGAGAAAAAAGTCTGAAAGAAGCACCGCTTACATTGACGTAGTCATCTCTCAGCTGTCCCAGAAATTTCACATCGTCCAAGTTACGGGAGTAAACAAACACGAGCTGGAAGCTGCCAAGACAAAATTCAGTGCAAGGTTTTAGTGCATCAAACATGTTTACAAGGGGAACTCAAGTTGTCCGGATGTTTGGAAAAGTTATAGCGCAGGAGAAAATAGAGAAGTGAACTGGTCCAGGACACAGCATGTATCCATCATAAAAAGGCACCGCTACTGCGAGTATGTGCAAGTAAGTAAAGTGCCCATTCTGTTTTCTTCATTGTAATGTTGGAAAAGATTTCCTCCAACACATGGTAGAAGATTATGAATTCATTGTTTATTGGACTTCAAATGCAATATTTTATGAAGGAGGTTAATTTTTCAATATGGCCGCCGTTCTCATAGTTACCAAAAAAATGTTACAATTTTTTTTGTGGAAACGCATATTCAGATGTTCCTTAAAAAAAGCTGTAGAGAAAAAATTGTTTGCTGTCTAGTATTTAAAAATGATTTTTTTTCTTATACCGGAGCCTATCCAGTTTTCTATCCAGATGGATTGCTGTGCCCAGCTATCAAGCCTCATCTGCCCTTAGGGGTTCGAACTCGGGACTTTTCGGCTTAGCAACCATGAGCTTTACTGACCCGACCATGCCAACCTCCAAAGTTTTTATACTCTCAAACAAACAATGAATAGTGTGACGTGTTTGATTAACAAAGACAAATTTAGAGGTACTGAGAAAGTATTGTAATCGTGCGAAAAAATCGAAATCGAGATTTTCATAAATCTCAACGTTTTACACCTCCCTGAGTCGGAAAATTTTAGATTGCAATTTTGTGTGTATTTCTGTGCGTCTATCTTCTTGTATGTATTTCTATTTGTCTGTGAACACGATAACTTGAGTACCGTTTCAGATATGTCGACAAAATTTCAAATATAAGTACTATACCAAATTTGTAGTTCTGTAGCAACTTTTGAGTAATTTCAGGTAACCGGAATTGGTACTAGACCTACGTGAAAACTTGTGAACAAAAAATAATCCGGTACAAGTTATCTTTTTAATTAATTTAATTTAAGGGATTTAAGCGATCACAGAAGCTTAATTTGCAGATCCCCCGCCCCTTCTCGCCCCCCTCCCCCGCCCTTTGCTGTAGCAAGCAGTACACCATCATCATTATATCACAAGGCCCTTTGACGCACGAAGTATCAACAAGGTAACGCCCTTTCGTCCTTTCTCTAACCCTGACTCATAACCCTGACTGTTAGATCTTTCAGCCAATATCCTATAACTCTTCCCTTTCATCTTCTCCGTGTTTCTTATGACTTCCCTTGTTTCCCCCTGCCCTGTTGTGTCCACCTAAGTGACGTCTTGACCATCGCGTGTGCTAGCAATGTGTACTCACCCACGAAAACTTTTTTGTTCAGCAGACGCGAGCAGCGTTGTGGCCAGCAGCAGACACAGGGTGAAGGTCAGACGTCCCATGCTGGACATGGATGGTAAACAAAAACAGTTTATTGTCGTTCCAAAATAGATGAAGACCACAGGGAATAAATCACAGTTGTCATAATTTCTGCTTTTGAGAAAAATGAGATTTTGTGTTTGGGATCTTTTGCTTTTCCATTGTGGCATGATTTTAAAATCCTAAATATTGAAGGGGTCGAGGTGATTTTACGCATTTATATTGTTAATACGTGATAGACATACACTAGTACTCTATGAATATGGCCCAAACTTCAGAAGTTTACGACGGATCCTCAAAATAAGATGACCAGACAAAATATCAAATAAAGATCTGGAGCACAAAACCCAACACAACAGCAAATAGATAGGGATATTAGGGGGTGGATTGGACATACCATGAGAAGGGAAGATGATAACGTTGCAAAGAAAACTATGGAGTGTAACCCCCAGGGAAAAGGGACAGTTGGTCGGCCAAAGAGATCGTGGAGAAGAACGGTAGAGGAAGAGGGTAAGACCGCTGGGCTCACGTGGGCACAGATAAGGGGAGCAGCCCCAAACCGAGTGGGTAAAGAGGTGTAACTGCAGCCCTTTGCTCCCGAGGGGCCACAAAGGATTAAGTCAAGTAAGTCTTATTGTCGATCGAAGGGCTTTTGCCACCCCAACCCCCTTCATCGTGGCCCGTGGGGTTTGAGCCCACCCACCCATTTTATTGAGACCTTTAGGGCGAAAAATATCGAAAAACACGTGAATCAAAATTAGCTTTAGGTTCATTTTACTTTTTTGGCTTATTCGTTGAACAGTTTTAAAAGAAACTGACAATTAATAAAATACTCTGTATTTTTGCATTTTTATAATGTATACGATTTGTATATAAAGTTACTTCTTTAAAGTTACCTAATGTAGCTAACAAAATTGTTATCTATTATCTTAAAGCAGACTGGCTTTTTAATTCTAACTAATTTTCTAAGTTCGTGTATCATTCGTATTAAAGTGATACTTATTTTTAAAAATATTATTATGCAAACTTTCACTTTCAACAGCAAATCATAAAATATGTCTCCATACCTTTTAAAGTTGTGTTTCCTTATAGTACAAACAGTCGGACGTATAGACCAAGATAGCTTTCTATGTTAGAGTTATAGCCCCTGCTGGTCTGGTGCTTGTTGAAGGGAGCTAATCACGGTGTCACTTCAGTAGAGAATTTTGTAGCTTGTGATCAATCCATTGACTAGAGTACATTGGACGAAGCAACAGATAGGCCTATCACTCGCGGGGCAATTTATATTGTCACGTGTCAGAATAGGATACTCAAATGGATGGTAATGGTGCCCTAATTATGTATTTTAAAAAGTCTATGAAATAACAACTGCCCCAACAGAGCAGTCCTTACTTAATCAATAACATTAAAAAATAAACCGGGAGTGAT